TTCATATCTTTTTTATATTTTTGAAACCAAATCAATTACCAAATATTAAAATTTAATGCAGATTTTTTTTTTTCAGGGAGTAACGCATGTTTTATCTATGTGAAAGCATTCAATCCAAAATATGGCAAAGCAGAAGGAACTTAATATAAAACTTTATCAAATCCCCCCTTTATCATTTGTTAGTTATCATTTGTATCCTCTTGTTCAGCCATTCAGCAAAGATGTTGCTAGGTGGCCGTACCTGTTATTTTGGCATTTGACCAACTTGAGCCCTTGAATTATATATTATCTACTATAAATTAAGTTAAAAAAAAAAAAAGTTGAGAAAAACAGTCAAAAAGCTATTGCAAAGTTAAAAAGTGCAGTTAAAAAGTTAATATGCTGAGTCGAGAAGTAAAATAAGTGCCTGTATCAGCATTAATACCCTATGCTTTATATTGTGACAGAAAAGTGTTTATTTCACTCTGTGGGTGTTTTTCATAAATTTAAAGAAGCACTTTTATTTTTGAAAATATATTACAGGAATTGTCCGTTTCTTGTTAAGACATTCACCTTGATTTTTGCCATAAAAATATACATATTTTTTGAATGTTATAAAAGGTAATATAAAAGGCTCATGTCCTGTTCTCCAATAACACTCTTAGCTTGAAATTTTGATTTTCAAAGTATTTCAATGAGTGCCCAATAAAGGGTTAAGATTAATAATAAAAATTATACTCACATTACAGATGCATGTCTAATGTATGTCAGGTGAACCATCTTGAGTTTTATATACATTAGGAAATAATACAACACACAATTAAATTCAATTCAGTTTCTTTATGTAGAGCCAATTCACAATGCATGCCATCTCAAGACACTTTACAATTCAACCAGATCATCCAGTCAAATTGATTCAAAGTTTTCTATCTAAGGAAAACCAGTTGATTCCTTCGACTCATTGACTCAAAGGCAATCCCTCACACTAAGCATGCTTGTATCGACAGTGGAGAGGAAAAACTCCCTTTTAACAGGAAGAAACCTCCAGCAGAACCAGGCTCAGTGTGAGCGGCCATTTGCCGAGGCCGACTGGGGTTCAAGGAGACAGAAAGGCAACTGTCAACCAGCTCCATAGGCCGCCCCATCCAGGAAACACACAGCCAGGTAGAAGAGCTCTGAGCCAACTCCCATGTCAGAGGATGAAAGAGAGCACATCCAGCCAGTCACGGTCAGAGAAACAGGACTACACTGAAAAACAGGCTGATCCGAACATCTATAAACAAAGGTGTTGATGGCAGCAGCACAGGTGATATTTCTCTCCAGGATGGTGTCACAGCCAAACAGGATAGGACCATATGAAGCTGCTATAAAAAAAGCAGAGAGAGCGTAGTGTCAGAGATTAAACTAACAAATTCTGCAGAGAGGGAGAATAGAGATAGAATGAAGAAGGATGATGAAAAGGGGTCCCTTTGTCCTCCAGCAGAGAAAGCCTATAGCAGCATTGCTATAGAGATAGCTCAGGATAACCTGAGCCACTCTAACTATAAGCTTTATCAAAAAGGAAAGTTTTAAGCTTACCCATAAATGTAGACAGGGTGTCTGCCTCACAGACTAAAACTGGTAGTTGGTTCCACAGCAGAGGAGCCTGATAACTAAAAGATCTGCCTCCCATTCTACTTTTAGAAATTCTAGTAAACCTGCAGATTGAGAGTGAAGTGCTCTGTTAGGAACATACAGTAAGGAACAATCATATCTCTGATGTAGGATGGAGCATCACCATTTAAGGCTTTATATGTTAGTGGAGGATTTTAAATTCTATTCACAGTGGTCCTTAGTACATCAATGAAATAAATATCTATTTTTACTTTTCAGTTCATGCTGCCCTTTGAAATCTTTTTTAAACCTGTTACTGACAGCCTGTCAGTATGGGCCATTCATTTGCAGTGCCAAATCTGACTTCCCTGTTTTCCAGCATTCATCAGAAGATTTGGAAATAGAATATTTGGATGTTACAGTAAATGGAATTATTGTAACATCCAAAAAAGAAAAAAAAAGATGTACCACAGATTGCTACGTAGTTTGTGAGGACTAATTTTTACAGACTGGTCAGATAGATCTACATTTTGGAGTGTGACGTTTTTTCAGCAAGACGTGCTGCGCTTGATTGGTCTCCCGCAGAGACAACCAAATAAGTCCTTGCAGGGAGTGAGTAAAATTCTTAAGTCAGCTGCTGCCTTGAATAATTTCTGACCATTCTCTAAAGGGA